TTGGAAATCAAAAATCTCCCAAAGTTGGCAGACTCGAATCGCAACTCCTGCTGAGAAACGATATCCGAGGTCAGCGTCTCGGCATCGGCCACCATGGGCGTGTTCTGGCCCTGCGTAAGCGACCCGGGTGGGCCCGGCACAGTTTCCAGAACTTCCGGCTCGTCGAAGACAATCTCCGGAAGCAAAGAAGCGTCCTTCAGACACTCTTGAGGCGTCACATCCAGATCCTCCATGATCCGGGCCTCTTCCTCTGCATCCGAGTCCAGCACTCCCACTATAAGAGGACCCTAATATAGTTACCAGTATCCTTTATAGTCACTATTACAGGGTGGGGGGGTCCTCCTAAGGTATTTTTTGTACCCTAAACCCTAAACCCTGAACCCTAAACCCTAAACCCTAAACCCTGAACCCTGAACCCTAAACCCTAAACCGCGAGGCTTGGATCCCTAGGGAATGAGACATAACCAAACATCACAGCTTCCAGGAATCAACCGCTAAGAGTTGCTGCTCTTGTGGTTGCCTCACCAGGGAATTTCTCAACATGAGGGTAGGCCAGGGACCCCGGAGTCATATGGTGATGATATCGGGGTTGACAGGATATAAGTGTTGATTTCAGAAACTCTCGCCACATCCCGAAGCGAGCGGGTTAAGGTTTAGGGTTATGGCCAAGGGAGTGAATGCAGCGAAATCTTATGAAGTCTTGAGGGTTTATCAGTAAGGAGGATTAGGAAGTCTTGGGGAGTACGAGGTACCTATCTACCCTCAAATGCCAGGCGAAAATGGATCTTCAGGATTATTCTGCGCGAGTTTATCAGTGATCCATTCCTCCAACCCCTAGCCATCAGGAAGTAAACCCCGAATCAGACTCATAGTTCGCTTGAGGCATGTGATACCAGAGTTGTATGAGTGTTACAAGGAAAGAATAGGTATATATAATATACACATATATGTACATATAATTGTTGGCTTCTACAATCTCTGGGGCCCGAACAAAAAGGTGTGAGGGGGTTTTATGGGCTCCCTTGACCACACTCGCTGGAGACATGCACTGTACTCTGAACACTAAATGGCTATGCAGCAGAGGGTTTAGGGTCATCGTACCACAGGCAAAGACGTCTCACCTGAACCCACACAGTATGCAGGATATGTTCTCAAACTCTTCTGAAGGATTGTGGAGCAGTTTCTTACCTACCCTTGACGTCCAGGCACCCTCCACGACCTGCACTTTTCTGTGGTGGAGGCATGCTCAAAGCGAGGAGTCTGTGTTGAGATGATCTCTGCAGCTGCACGATTGCGCCGACATGTCCTGATTCTGTCATGCTAGTTTACCTTGAGCCTCATACTTTTCTTGCCATGTGTCACTCAATAAATAGTATGTGAAGTAAGCCGCACAGAGCCCTGGAAAGGGACCTTGACAACTCCCATGCAATCCCTGTCTGTCTTCAGGGTTCCTGGCGATACCCTAGTCAGGGTTTAGGTTTTAGTCGTGATTCCCCCCCAACAGCAATTCACAAGGCGTACAGCAGCCACTTGCCTTGGAAAGCTCAAGTCGCTCTTACTCAAGTCCAGTGATTAGCCTCTGGGCTAAGCCTGGGAAAAACAGAAGTAGTTGTACAAAGACTGTCGGAATTATATTCTTCCGGATTATGTAGAACATCTCTGACAAAACCTCAAATTCTCACAGACATGCTACACACATCCATGGACTTGTGCAAGCACGAGAGATGATCCCAACTGCCAGCAAACTATCTGAGACTCGCTACGAGACGTTGTCTCGATTTCGCGATCTGAACCCCCTCCAAGATCACATCAACGTGGTAGTTTGAATAAATCGGCACACCCCAAAATCAACCCGAACATACACTAATCCGTATTATGGGGATCCCCAGAATGGAACCCTGATTTCTGGAAACCCCCATGTCGATCTTTTAGAGTTAAGGGTTCGGAGAGAACATCAACGTAGAACCCTACATCTTAGACAGATAACTTTAAACGTCTAGGGTTTCGGTTTTGGTCTAGCCTGCCATGGACTAGGATTGCATAGGGCTTAGGGTTATGTTTGATGGTAGAGGCTAGACGCCTGCTGAAGACACTCATCCTTTAGTGAGGCAAGCAATGAAATGATCCTCTCCCAAACTAACATGGAAGCTGAATTGAAGTCCTTTTTACAAAGGCTAGTAGTCTATATGGGGCCCCTTTTCAGGTTCCATGTGAGCTATTGTCCAAACTCCTAGCATGTCAAGCCCCTATGTAACCCCCCGTTTAGGGAGTTTAGACTATAGTCCCCTTTAAGTAGATAGAATATGGCTTTGGGTATATTATAATAAGATCCCCATACACCCCATATTCTATCTGCTGAAGGGGGACAATATAGCTCATGCTAGTTTGGGGGAGGGTATTAGCTTTAGAGCACATCAACCAGCCTGACATGACGTCTGACTCCATGGTGCCCTAAACCCGAAGACACCCCAAAATTGCTTAGGGTTTAGGGTTTAGCCCCAAACCTCCTGACTCCAAACCTCCTTGACCCTCCAACCTAAAACTTGAAGCCCCAAACCCCCTAAACCCTTAACTCCTTGAACCCTTTAAACCCTCAATCCCAATCCCCCCGAACCCTAAACCCTAAACCTTAACCCAATACTTCTATGAAACACCACCATCTCAATCTCAAAACCCCTAAGATGAGACCACTTCACATGGTTTAGGGCTTAGGGTTCAGGGCTTAGGGTTTGAGGCTCGAAAAAAAAGCTCAAAATGAAACAACATGAAATGCCACCCAGAACGCCGATTCAGGGTGTGGATTTAGGGTTTAGGGCTTCGGGTTGGGCAGTTAATGTGGGGGCCCAGAATTTGAATAGAGTTTTTGGCGGTAAGTTCTGCGATAGTGATGCAAGGATGATAGGGTTGCAAATACTTGATTTAAAAAAATCCAAAGGAAACGCCTCCCCCCCCCCTTTTCCCTGCAGACCTCAAACCCTATAACCCCTGAACCCTGAACCCTATGACCAGTCGTGTTGCTGTGATGACTTCGCCAAGCAAGACCGCATGAACCCTGAACACTAAACCCTAATTAAACTCTAAAATGCCTTGGGGGTGGGGGCTCAGACAAAGTTGCTTGTGAAAGCATCCGGACTTATAGATGTCAGCCGGTCATGAGAAGGAAGCTTCATGGCACCTCATACGGTTTTGGGTTTACGGTTTAGGGTTGAGGGTATAGCGTTGAGGGTTACTCTTGATAGTTGATGTAACGGCCTTACTAAACCAAATGGAATTTGGGGTATTTCCCTTGTAGCTGTGTACACAAGATGTTGGATAATGTGGATTTCAAGCGTCTGCAGTGAGCGTTTGGGGCTTCTTGGCTGTATAATGTAGGCCGGGCTGGGGCTATTTCACTATCACCTACATCAGGCTATTTGGATCACCCAGTAGCTGTCGCCTAAAAGGGGCCTAAGTGAGCTTCCATCTCTAAACCCTAAACCCTAAACCCTAAACCCAACTCTAAACCCTAAAGCCTAAACCCTGCGACAGCTAAAGCGCTGGCACTCGAGGAGCAGGGGTTCATGGTTCGTCAGACAACTCGGCTCCCATCAACACGAGACGTACAACAAAGTAGGCCGTAAACTACGTTTTGGATTATTTGGGTGATATTGGGTTTTATTGTGTATTTTTGGGGCTTATATAGGGACAATGGAAAAAATGGAAACTACTACTTAGGGTTTAGGCCTTGAATCCTGAACCCTAACCTCAACCTAAACACCCCAAACCAAAACCCTGCACCCAAACCGTGAACCCAAATTCGTGAAGTCAGAATCCTATGCTCAGCTAAGAGCTAATTGAGCCAGGAGCATATTTAGTGGACCATTTTCGCAGGATTTTATATTGTCCCGACCCTCACACCTCCCAATCCTACGTGTAAACCATAGATATCATCAAAGGCCATCTGTGGCTCATTTGGCAGGCGGTCCAAAGTATTGAGCCTGTTGGGTACCCTGTATATGTTAGGGGACATACTATAGTAGGAACCCAAGATGGGTCCACAAATTTGACAACCCAACATTTGGGTTTTTAGGGACCCAATTTGGGTTTTGAGGTCCGTACTGCAGAAACCTGCAACCCACATACTAATTCAAAGCACTCACCCCACGTCTGATATCCAGAGGAGAGACCCCACATATGAGCTATAGTCTTAACTCCTTGAAGGGGGCTTATAGGGAATTATCTAGGGGAGTACTATAAGGGTTAATAAGTGGGATACTAGGGGCTTGTACTATAGCTCATATTGGGAGACATATCTAACATTCGTGGCAGGGGGGAGTGAGGGAGTGAGTGCGTGCGTGCGTGGGTGGGTGAGTGAGTGAGTATGTGTGTATGTGGGGGGTTCCCAACATTAGGGGTACTATTGTGGGGGTACCCATAGTAAGGATTATATTATTTTAGGGTTTATATTGGGGTCCCCTAATTTTGGGAAACTACCATGTGTATGTCTATGTGTATGTGTATGTCTGCGCTTCACATTAGCATGAGCGACTAATGACCAATCTTGATCATTCATATCTTCATCCAACTGCAGCATACAGAGCACGCGAAGCCCATGATCCAAGGGTATCAAAGCTCCTACACTACATCGATCCATCCATGAAATGATGCAAGAATTGTCTACACCTCAAAGTAGGTACTGGATCTAGACAGTAAAGCCCAGTGTGGCTTCATGCATAAGACTCGGATCATTCCTGCCATGGGAAGGCAAGATTTTATAACTCGAATCCAAGGGAATCCAGGGAGAGCACGCATATTGTATCATTCCTTTGGGCTACTATTTAACACTCCCAACCCGTATGATCAACTAGGAGACCTCATATTTTGCGGGGGGGGGGNNGGGAAGTATGTAAAAGAAAAGAACGGTGAGAGTGTTTAACATTAGAACGAAGGAATTCTATCAAGTCAGGGGCAGTCCCAATGTCGTGTGCCTGAAAGCAACTCTGTTCGCAAAGCCGTGAGCCTAAGCACTGAAAAAGCCCTGAGCCCTTAGCCCTAAACATTGAATCCTAAAGGATAATGGAATATAAGATGGAAGCTACTA